TAGCCGCCGATCAAAGTAAATCTCCTCCAACAAACCAAAAACAAATCCACAACAGCAAGCATCGAAACGATCATGCTTTGCGCTCAACTGAAGGTAGCATCTCGCTCGCCACGTAGACAACTCCCATATTGTCTAGTGGTTAGGATATCCGGCTCTCACCCGGAAGGCCCGGGTTCAATTCCCGGTATGGGAAACAGATGTGACATTTTTTTTATTATTATTATTATTCTTATTATATTAATTAATTAATAAGTGTTTTTATAAAGACTCTCTTTCATAATAAGATATTTTCTGAACGATATTCATATGCTTTGCATATGATTCATATGATAATCATAACATTTATAATCAACTTGTTTTTAAAAAGTCCCCGAAACCCCAGAAAAGCATATAGGAACATTGCAGCCACATAGACAGGTCCCATATTGTCTAGTGGTTAGGATATCCGGCTCTCACCCGGAAGGCCCGGGTTCAATTCCCGGTATGGGAAGTCAACAAGGACGATTGGTTTTTTTTTTTTGTGATATACTTTTCAGGTCTTAAAAAAACCGTTTTCTGTCAAAAACAAATGAATTAAGAAACATACTTCCCTTAGCAATCAACAAATTCGATGGATAACAAACTATTTTTCTAGTTTTATAATTATCATGTTGACTATCTTGAATCCTACAGAGAAATTGTTAAAGATTTCTGGGATATAATATCCCATATTGTCTAGTGGTTAGGATATCCGGCTCTCACCCGGAAGGCCCGGGTTCAATTCCCGGTATGGGAAACTTTTTTCGCTCTAGTTTGTCTTTCGACGGTTATTTTAAGTACATTTTCCAAACTTTCTTGGATTTATTTCTTGTGGACCACCTACGAATTGGGCAGCCAAAAGAAATTCCGTTCCGTTTGCTGTTCTAAATCTCCGAAATCTCGTCTCGACATCAAGAGCAGATTCTACTTCATTCTTCTGTTGAAATTGCGCAAACACAACAATGGCTATGGTAGCTATGTATCTCTCTTGCGGTTTAAATTTTATGTCGAGCGTTTTATGGTCGAAAGGGGGGTCCGTCTTCCATCCGGGTCCGGGTAAGGGCAAGTGTTTCACACAGTAAACACAAGTTAATGAAATTAAAACGTAAGCAGCAGCAGCAGCAGACACACAAAAACGCAATAAACACAAAAGAAATTACAATTAAATTGAAAGCCCAGAGAGAAAGACCAGCCAGGGGTTCCCCACTCCCCTGCCACTGCAGCTTGACATGCAATCCGAATGGAAATGAACTTTGAAGCGGCCTCGCGGCCTGCGTGGGCCGTCTTGGTGGGCTGGCTGTGTTCCCCAGGCCAGCTCCTCGGCTTTCCCAGTCCCTCGACTTGAGAATTTGAAGTTGCCGGCTATCGCGATGCTCCACTTGCCCCTCTCCGCATCTTTCTCCGGCAGATGGATGGCGTGCGCGACTTTTAATCGCATTCGTTTCAATTGTTGGAATTTTATTGTGAAACCGGCTAAGACTTTGGGCGTCAAAGCCTGCCTTCCAGCCACCCCATTCGCCTGGCTTTCCACGAACCCACACACATCCCATATACACATCTTTCATAACGCTTCATTATCGGTTCCCGCACATATATACTTTAAAATGCGAAAAGAAACCTTTGAAGAAATTAAAAAAACAAAAAAAAAGTGAAAACCTTTCCCAGAGAAGATGATGGGTTACAGTGAAAGGCCTCCATGGGTGAGCTCTGTACAGCTGAAAACTATTGGATGTATCGATTGTGCAACATATTCATATATGTTGATATATATCTTGATACTTTGATAATTTATTAATCAACTTGCAAATTAAAGAGAGATATGCATTAAATCTTCTAGAGAAGCTAAAATGAAATGGAAATAACTGAAACATTCTCATCTAGAACTTGATACCATGACTCCTGGGTTTTCTGGAGTAACTAGGTATTTTCATAGTTATTTAGACTTAGACTTAGAATAAAGGAAAATATTCTTAAACCGAACCCATGACTTTTAAAAATATTATCTCTCACATTTCATTATTTATTTATCAAGTGATTTAAACACTTTCTCCCGGTGTATAGATTGCATATAACTTTTTCCTTTTGATCCCTCATCGTAACCCTGCGTAAGAGCCACCCACCTGGTAAACATTTTTCAATTATAGTTTTATAATAATTTTCTCGTCATTGTTGGTGTACGAGTGGTAGTAGTTCGTGTTTATTGTCTGTTCGTTGTGTTGTTGGCCTTTTGTTAATGTAACTTTCTTCGTTATTCTTTCACTTTTCGACCCGCCCACTAGCGAGCTGTGGCGCTGCCAACTTGTTTTCCATAACTTTTGCTCTCGACCCAAGGCATTTAAGCCGCGTTGTAATTATATATATTTTTTCAGTACATTTCTCTTGCTATTTTTCGCTTGCCACTTGCCACTTCTTTGGATGGTGGTGCACCCTGCGGCTTCAGTAATTAAATTTGTTTTTTTGTCTCTGCTTTTGCTGCCACTTTTTCCGTTTTCCAATTGCAACTCTAACCGTATTCGCCCTCGGGACGAAATCTTTTTCCCTTCAATTTCCCAGGAATTGTGTAATAATTTTGAATGTGTTTCAAGCCAATTTAGTTCGCCCATTGAACTGCATAAATCAATAAAGACAAGTACCTCAAAAAATGGTTTGGAGACACACACATATGCACATATATATATAAATGTTGATAAACTAAAGAAAGTTAGGGGAAGCAAGCAAATAACGCAAACACAAATAGTCGTCAGCATTATGTAAATGAAATGTTTGCCCAATGCAAACACAAAATGCGGTCGGTCGACTAAGGAAATTTAGAACAGCAGCTCAAGGAGCTCTCGGGGTTCACTGCAAAAATATATATATTGGATAAAGCAATTACCACCCAGGGTTGGGTAAATAAAAGCGATATGTTTGGCAAGGTAAAATATGTAAATAGCTTAAATAGCTGCTAACAAAAATAGTAATTGGATAATATGTAAATGGCAAAAGATGCTGCCAGTAAATATGGTAATTGTAGGCTGACAATTTCATTAAAATCCCACCAAGAGGATGATGCTTCTGTAGCCTTCAATTACATTTTGATAGCGTATTTTTAATCCGAAATTGTTTTAATATTTAATGGAAAATTGCTTCATCAACTACGACTTATTGTGTATAATTTCCCTCATTAATTAGTTTTCTTAAAACTACAAGCTCTATGAGTTTTTCACCGTGTAACATATAAATGTAGTAAAATTATTGGTAGAGTTTCCAAGGAGGTTGGTTGGTTGGTTGGTTGGCTTGCATAATCAACCTCAACGGCGAGTTGAACTTCGATTTTTGCCTTTGCCAAATGAGCCCAGTAGGAAGGCAAAAAAAACAGGGCCAGGAGAGGGAGTTGTGCGGAGGAGCACCGACCGGCACACAGAGGAAGTTCGATGTTTGTTTCAAGGATATTGTGCGTTTCAGTGTCCTGCACACGAACGAACAAGTTGCGTGCCAAGGACAACACGGCAAAGCTGAAAAGTACACACAAAAAGTAGCAGAGCAAGCTGAAAAAGCAGACCGAAGCTACCAGGAATCGATGTTTAAGGACATTAGGGATACACCTGTCGATATTTTTACAGTTTTTGGCATGCGCCTGCCCCTTGGTTTTCGGTTCCATTAACCAGTTTGCCAGTTGTGTGCTTGCCAGGATCATTAAGGGGAAGACCGAGAGCAACACTTCCGTCTGCGAAACTCGTTTTTGGGAACATAACACAACAGAGAAAACCAACCAGGAGGTATACACGAGGACAACACGACACAGGACCTTTACTCCACCACTATTCCTGTTGTTTTGGGCCAAAGGTAATCACCATTAAAACTCATTACCAAGAGCAACTGTACAGCACCACAACAGCAGCAAGGAGAACGAAGGTGGGCAGCCTGCCAGGAAGGAGGAACAGGACACGCCATGGGACACCAGAAGTGGAAACAGTTCGGACTTACACAAAAATATAAACTAGGCAAAACCAAAACATGGTCATAAAGAAGGGAGTCCCAAGCCAATGTACTAGTCAGGATACGAGTTAAAGGGATGAGACTGCTGATATTGTCTTTCGCATTATCAGCTAGTAAAATGGAAATAATCCCTTTGTATTGTATCAGATATAGAGGGTGTAAAATTCTATAAAAGAGATCTATATATGTAATATATGTGACCCTAAATCTCTTGTAGTTTTCAATTCAATAAGCTACATTTTTGATTCGGTCCACAATCGAGTAAGTTATTACTCAATTTTTATTTCTTTTGCCCAAATTTAATTTCAAGATTTACGATCATAGGCTTGACTGGCTTTATATCCTTCCCGAAAAGCCATGGCTTATTGCAAAATGCCACTTGGCCATTCTTTTGACTTGGCCCTGACGCCTTACACTCCGAATAAGAATTCGGAATTCCGTCTTAGTCTCGAGTTCTTCTCTGAACACTTTCGGGGTTGCATTTCGGCCTTCTTTCTTTATTTCGCTTTTGGTGCTGCGCCGCAGCGGAAATAAATTTGCAAAAAAAGAAATAAATTCTCTCGACTCTTTTATGGCCGTCTAGGGCCATTAAAAAGGGGCGAATCAGCCGGGTGGGAGATGGGGGAGGCCGGGGATAAAGACCTGAATGATGGCGCCTCTGGCCATGTCGAATGTTGAATATAGTCGTCGCCGTCGTCTGCCAGAAATTGCGCTGCAGTTGTCGTCGTGTCGCATTGAGACAGGAGGCAGGAGACAGGAGACAGGAGGCGCTGAAGTAGAGACAACCTTGAGCTAATTTGGCCATAGCCAGCACCGCGTAATCCCCTCAAGCACAGAGAAAAATACTTGGGAATTGCAATGGAAAATTACATAAAGTTTTGATTAATTTTTGGTGCCATTTTTTCGTTAGATTCTTTCACTTGTAACTTTTCCAATAGATTTTAGTAAACTATTTACCAAGTTATCAGTTCGGGAATTATTTAAAAAGTGAACAAATCCTCCTAGAAATAAAATTCAATCACATTCATAAGGAATACAAATTTCGTCAAGTGATAATTTGTCTGTTTCCTTCCAGGAGGCCGTCGCCGGGGCTAGACAGCAGCATTCCGCTTTTGTCACCATGACAGAAGCCATCTCCGTCGTCGCCTCCGCCGCCGGTTCAGCTGCTCCTGCTAAGTGGGGCACCGTCACAAGGCAGACGCCCCAAAAATAGAAATCCCCATAGACAGGAGGAGGAGGAGAAGGAGGAGAAGGAGGAGGAGCACAGAGAGATGCCGCCCAGTACCGTTTTGCAAATGCCGCCAGCTCCGTCATCCTCATCGTCGTCGTCACAATCCGGCCTGGTGCTGGGCGTCTGCTGTGACCAGCTGATGGCGGCGACGATGCACCCGTTGCAGCGAACATCCGGAGCAGCAGCGACCTCCAAATGGGGGAGCAGCGGCAGTCACAAGGAGAAGCATCTGGTCGAGGGGGCGGCCGCCATGTCTTCCAGGTGGATGCCGCCGCCCGTTTTCATTGTCCTGGCCTCGCTCCTTGAGGTGAGTGAGTTTGAGGTCCCCAAACTTGTGACCGCTTTTTAATGCGATTACCCAAACCCAAGAGGGTTGATTGAGGGTCGTAAAAAGCCACATTTTGGGGTGACCCGAGGGTTGGGGAGCAGGTTGCCATGGCATCGCTGGAAAGCACAACATTCTGGCCACATTCTGGTGGGATTTAATATCCACCAATCCGCCGCTGCAACCCTTGTGGGGATTGGAGACACTGACGGATAACCCCTGATCTTTGGCAATTACTTATTATTCGATTAGTCTCGAAGATTATGGGGTTTACCATTTTATTACTATTGTCAAAGGGGATGTCTTGGTTGACTTTTGTTGTTTTGTAATCCATATAATGGTTTTTAATGAATATCAGTCTCAATTGAACTTCACCAAACTTCCAGTTGGTTTTCCCGAAAATTTAATTATTGCTTCTTGCATCTAAAACCCATCTGTAGTTTCTTTTATATGTTTTAGACTCTTTCACTTCAATTTCCAATTACTCTCCCTAGTATATAGAACTTGGTCCTGCAGTCACGTCTGCCTGGGGCCTTGTCTCGAGCTAAACGAGATGGCCATTGAAGAGGGTTGTTTGCCCGGCCAAAAAATAAAAATGCTGTATCATATTTCAGCCCCATTCCGGCCCACACTCGCCCCAACCCCCCAGAGAAGCCAAGAACTAAGAGTATCGCTTCTCTGGTCGATCTGGTCCAGCAATTGACTTTTAAGGCAAACAAATTGCCGACAGGGCCACACACAGACGAACCCTGAATACTTATCCCAGGGCCCATCCCAGTGCATTTGTAAATGGAAGTTGGCTTCCGGTTAAAGGATATACGAGAAGCCGGGACACACAGAGTGCGTGCGAAAAATCCAACACGTCTACGATTTGTTTTCCGCGTCTGGCTTTTTGCACAGACTGGACGCCGCCAGAATGAGAAAAGGGGGAGTCCGGATGGGGGAGAAAATAGGGAGGAGGACGAATGAGGAGGGGGACATGGAAGCCCAAGGGTTCCTCGGGGGTATTGATGGCGACGTCTCGTCGCTGTCTGCTGGCAGTCTGCGCCTTTGGGGGTTGCTTTTGCCTTCCCTTCCCGCCAGGCGAAGCTCAACTGTCTCGCCTTTCTTGTGGGTTTGATGATTTTATTGCTGCTTTTCCTTACTCCCCTCAACTGGGGAATGGAATGGGGGTTCCCCCCTTGGACTTTTCTTTGGTTTACTGAATCGATTGCTTGGGCCTTACAGCCTTTAATTATAAAATGAAACCCGAAAAATGTGCAATAATTTCCCCCTGTCATGTATTCTCCCAGATAGCTGTCTTTGTGTGCGCGGGCTCTGAGCCTCCGGAGGATTCCCTGCTGGTGTATCGTCCCGACCAACGCCTCCAGCTGTGGCGATTCCTCAGCTACGCCCTGCTCCACGCCAGCTGGCGGCACCTGGGCTTTAACGTGCTCACCCAGCTGCTCTTTGGCCTGCCCCTGGAGCTGGTGCACGGATCACTGCGCACTGGGATCATCTACATGGCGGGAGTCCTGGCCGGTTCACTGGGAACTTCGGTTGTGGACTCGGAGGTGTATCTGGTGGGTGCCAGTGGCGGAGTCTATGCCCTGCTGGCCGCCCAATTGGCCAGCCTCTTGCTCAACTTTGGACAAATGCGAAACGGAGTTGTCCAGCTGATGGCTGTGATTGTGTTTGGTGAGTATTTGACTTTGGAGGAGAGGTCTTCATACCACAAGTATCCAAGTGAAATGATCTCCCTACTACTCTTAGTCTTCTGCGATCTGGGCTATTCCCTTTACACCCGAGAACTGGAAGTCCAGCATCTGCAGGCACGGCCTTCGGTGTCGTATATTGCCCACATGACGGGAGCCTTGGCCGGGATCAGTGTGGGCCTGCTGCTCCTCCGGCAGCTGGATGGAGGACTGCGTCCACGCCTCCTCCGCTGGCTGGCCCTGGGCGTGTGGTGCCTGTTTAGTGCCTTCGGGATTGCCTTCAACCTGGTCAACACGGTCACAGCCCAGCTGCTGGCGGAGGAGGAGGGTCAGGTGATCCGGCAGCACCTGATGCACGACCTCGGAATGGGCTGAGGAGGAGCCCAAGACTGCATTCGCTCTCTGCCCCTAGGCTTTAGTCTAGTCACTAGTCGGTAAGACCCACTCCCAGGAAGGACAGTGTGCTCAAAAGAACGTATACTTATAATTAAATCACATATCGGATATTCCCAAATATCCCTGGCTCCCGCTTCAAGAGGGGGAACGCTCAAAATACTCTTAGCCCATAAGTCCCAACTTGTATCTTATGCCAATGCCAAAGGAGTGCGCAGAAGGAGGAGAGTTACTCGAAGGCCCTTCAAGAACTGAGCCTGGCTCACATCAAAGACTTTGGATCGGGTTTGTGTTGCTATCTGACCGTCGATGGACACTCGTTCGTCGGGTTGACTACTTAGTTGTAATGCCAAACCAGAGCTTAAAGACAGATTAAATATATATATCCCCAGTAAATGAAAGAATTAAAGAGATTTCTTACTCAATAAATTATCTAACTGAAGACTAAGGTGTGTGTTTTGAAGGATATATTCCAGTTGCAAGAGCCTAGAGGTAAGAATTATATTTATAGTCATTTGTTCTATCCTTCTTCCTCCGACCTCATGAACTCATAATAATTCACAATCAACATCAGCATGTTCCAATTCCTAAACCACTTCATCAAAAGGTAAATCGTGGACCAAAAATCACTGAGAACATTGCAATTTGGTGCAACAGCCACAATCAATGGGCCAACATTTTGAGGGGGAGCGCGAAATTGGACAGCGCCACAAATTAATAACAAACAAAAACTGAAATTAGCCACCGGCTTTTGGACATTGTTTTGCGTTCTCTGGCAGTGGCATTACCCATCGAGTGGTGGTGGTGTTGGCCTCATTAGCCTCATGGTTTTGGATTTCGCGTTGGCCGAAAAATGAAATTGTAAACTTGGCTGTGAGCTGGTTCTGTGTGTGTTGGTAATTCAATAGCCGGCAGCAAGCTCTGCACTGCGCCACCCAAAACCGAGCGCATTTTGATGAGACATTGATGGTTCAATCGAACAACCAAACCCACCCAGCCAGCCGAGCCAATTTAGCAGCCATTTGCGATTCCTCAATCACTGCGATCAGAGCCGGGATAGGAGAGTGATCTCCGATCACAGAGGATCACCTTCTCGTTAAGTCGTCACCTGGATTCGTTGGCCATCGGGCACTGGGATCCACAGTCCAGGCCAAGTCCTCCACTGACAGTTGACAACAAATATTTCTGACGTTAAATGCGGCTGAATGGCTCCTTCGAACCCTCAGAGATTCGTCAATGAACGATTCTTGGCATCATTGTGATGCTGCACTCGGAAGAATAAGCATATCTTTCGGGAATATGAGTTTGAACCGTGCTCCAAAGAAATATATAATTGAGCGGAAGATATATAAATAGTATTTGAAAGAGTCTTTTAAAGAAGGAGCCATAAAAACTTGCCAAATTTAAATGCAATTCGTTCCCTATTTCTCCCAGTGTTCCAGCTGAAACAGCAGCTGAATCCTCTGCAACCGACTTGCTCATTTCACTAATTTAATGAAGACCTTCTGAGAGAAAGGCGGCGAGGGGACAGGTCCATTGTCTCCGATTCTCTCTCTCTCACTGGAGCAGAGGACCAAGTCTCCGGCAGATTGATGAGCTTCGGCTGCAGGCTGCGGTTGGATCCGGGCGGCTTTTAAAACTCCAGACCGAAAGGGGAGGACCTGCATCAATAATTTGTGTCCGCCGTTGAAAATAATTGACCAAGTTTGTCTGTTTGCGGTTGTGGCATTTAATCTACTTGCAGCTGAAGTTGCCGGCTCCGAAAGCGACAACTAAGAAGGAAGAACTGAGAACTGAGAACTGAAAGCCAAACTGCAGCAGCAGCTGCCTTTTGGAGCAAGAGGACGAGAAACGACAAAAAAAAAACCGCCAGGTCCCAATCCTCGGCTGCCTCCTTGGCCTGCACTTGGCGTAATTGAAATAATTTTAAGTGAAAAATCTGCATTCAAAAAATATTTCAGCGCACACACAAATGTCAGCGAGGCACGAGAAGGAGGAGACAAAATTCCAGGAGCAAGCAGGGATGGGCTGTGAATCGAAGTTCTGAGCTTGGAAGCTTGGAGAAGAAGGTGATTGGGTGAATTCTCTATAAAATGAGCACAATCATAGAACTAAATCTCTACGCCAAATAGTTATAAGATATTTTATAAAAAAATAGTACTCAAAATAAATAAAATGAATAAAGAATTGGCTCACTCACCGCTTCGCTGCTCGTTTTGTTTAAATGTAGCCACTTTTACCATAGTTAAACCTGGAAAATAAATGGTATTTTTTTTGAATGAATAAAAATGATGTGGATTTATTATTTTTATAATCAAAATGTAATACATCATATAATAAAAATCCATAAAAATTCTACATTATCTGACCAACTTGTCCTACCAATCCATATGCCTCATTCTTACAGTTCAGCGACTTTTTACTGTCCAGCATTGGCCAAGTGCAGACGCAGAAATTTACATGCGCCAATTTTGAGGGGACATGGCACAAAAAAAGAGTCAACAGTTTGCAGCTTTCGCAGTCGAGCCCCGAACATAATCCTGGGCATTAAAGCAAATTGCGGCATCTGCTCCAGCAGCGGCATTTGGGGATGGATCGGGATAGGGCGGCACCCGAAGGGGGCAGCAATTCGGATCGATCATTGGAACTTGGAACCCACCGTAATTTGCTTAATTCGACGCTGAGCTGCAGTCAGTCCGGAGTTCGGACCCAGAGGTGCCCCAGCACGAGGCTGCCACTCGTCGATCGACTGATGACGAGGATGATCCTCCTACCCGCCTCCTACGGGGCCAATCCCCGCCTGATTCCGCTCAGGCGACGGCACCATCGGCTTCTTCAGCGGCAGCCTCAATTTGCCAAGTGCCTCGGTTGCCCTCGGGGCAATTTTGAGCTCAGTTTTTATAAAAGTTTTTTGTTTTTTTTTCTTTTAGTTCGTTCCAACAATTTTTGCTGACTCTTTTTTTCGAGTGACTGTAATTTTTTTTCAAGCTGGACATTAAGTGACTGTTCACCCTGGATGAATTCACTCTCATCCCGTAGTGTCACAGTTATCCTACGCCTTTGGGGAGCACTTAAATTCGATAAACAAATGGATAGGAAAAGAGACACATATGCATGTCCTTTCAATCGATAACAACGGCAGCAGCATTCTCTCTCTCTTTCTCTCTGTTGCAAGTTGCAAACTCTCGAATGGAAGCTCCATGAATTTATCAGAAAAATATCTGCATAAATTCTTGTTTTGGCATTTCCCCCATCAATTCTAATTCATATTCTGTTTCCTGGCAATGGAAACAACTCGAATCGAAGTGGAAGTGACAGCAACTGGCACAGGGATTTCGTAGCTTGTGAAATGTCAGCTGGAGGCCAAGGAAAATGCATTAATATTATAATTCGATAATATTCAGGTCAATCAAAGGTGTACACCGTTTGGTTATGTTTTGGCTCGAAATTGGATTCTTTGTGGAGTAGAAAATCAATTAGAATTATATCATTTCCTGCATGCCTAGATTCTCCTGCTGATGCTGATCAAGAATATATATGGATTATAGGGCCGCAAATGACTCCTTCCACAGTTATAAGCTTCTGACTGAATTATAATACCATATTTTTAGTAGATATTTATCTTTGTTTTTATAGCAAAATTTTTAGAGAAATCAAATTTTAAAAAACTCATAACTACGTCAAAAAGGCACTTATTTCAATTCGGAAAGCTTTCCTGTGCTAGTTTTTATTGGGTTAACAAATCTGCATACTGAACTGAAAATTTTTAAAAATTGAAATTTTTATCAATTTTTTTAAATTTAAAGATTTATAAAATTGAAAAAAAATTTCAAAAAAATTTCTTCCTTTTTTTATGCCTAGAACGATTCGCCAGTTAATGCTGATCAATAATTTATATGGATTATAGGGTCGGAAATGACTCCTTCCAGAGTTATAAGCTTCTGACTGAATTATAATACCATATTTATAGTAGCTATATAACTTTATTTTTATAACAAAATTTATTAAGAAATCAAATATTAAAAATCGTATAATTACGTCAAAAAGGCACTAATTTCAATTCGGAAAGCTTTCCTGCGTTAGTTTTCATTAGGTTAACAAATCTGCATACTCAGCTTAAAATGTAGAAAAATGGAATTTTTTTATCAATTTTTAAAACTTTAATGACCTCATAAAGTTTGGAAAAAATGGCCAAAACAATTTTTCCTTTCCTGCATGCCTAGAAAAATCCCCCGCGTGATGCTGATCAAGAATATATATATGGATTATAGGGTCGGAAATGACTCCTTCCAGAGTTATAAGCTTCTGACAAAAATTATAACATAGTATTAGATATATAGAAATATTCTAGGACTTTCTCCTTGATGCTTCCCCGTCCCAAAGCTCGCGTTAATTTCATTGATCCCGATCTCATTGGCATCTCTCCGGGGAGAGGAGAGCAAGGGAGACTCATTAAATCTCAACTCGCCCCCTGGCTCATAATTCAGCTCAATATAAATCTGTTAACAAAACGCTTAATCCGCTTTGTGCGCCTTATTTATGGCCATTTGATGGCGCATTATCGCATCAGGCACATGGCACCCGTCAGGTTCTGACTCCGGCTCCGGCTCCGGCTCTGGCCCGGCACTCTCCTCTGTGACCCTCCCAGCTGGCGCGTCTCATAATTGGATTCGTCACAGCTTCCCTCGAAGCACTTCGCTGCCACCGTCACCGCCACCATCTCCCTCAGGATCCTCGACGGCCATAAATCGCGGGCTGCTTGAAATGCAAATTTTCGGGGCTGCGACTGCAGCTTGTTGAAGTCGGAGCAGTATCATCGGCAGGGCATCAAAGTGGCAGCCAAATGTTTCGCCTGCTGCTGCCCAATTAACGCTGGCGAGGAGCTGGAGCTGGGGCAGCGGCAATCAGAGTTCACTTGAACACCTCGCAATTAAGCCCAGCGAAAAGTGCGTCGAGGTGGCTCTGAGTGCGGGTGGAGTAAACAACAAGAAAGCCAGCACGATGCGGTTCCATGTTCCAGCATCCTCGCTGCTCGCTGGCTGCTGCGCTTGTTGTCGATGGCCAACAAAGGATAATCCAGCAGCCAGGTGAGACTCCCTCTTCCCGGGCTGCACCCACTTTTTGGCCACCGAAAGTCACTACTGGCGGTGGTGTCAGTTGACAGCCACCGCTAAACATTTAGTAGAGAGGAGAGCAACCCACGCAGGAGTTTGTGGATTAAGCCGACGCTTAAATGCCCTGACATCTAGTTAGAATGTATCCTGTTTAATATTTAAGGTGATTGGAACATTCCTAGCTACTAACACATGTAACAATCTCACTTGTTAACCAATTTGAAGGTCGTGTTAAATATATTGTAAATATTTATAGGTAACCTGTGACTCATAATACCCCAGCAAAAGTGACTTTTTCGTTCTAAAGATGCACAGATACACCCCGCAGAGGCAGTTACAACCAGGCGGGGAAAATTGCACAAGTTCTGGTTCCATTTGTCGCCGCATCGCTTGCAATGGATTAAGTGATTCCGTTGGCCAATTCCGCCGAGGTTCTAACCAAGAACAGGCGACGCGCTTGTTACCCCCGGATGCGAATCTAATGCCCAAACATTCCCTCTCCCCCTGTCGCTCTCTATCCACTCTGGGGAGGGGAATCCTTGGTCGACACGGCGGCTGGCATTAATTAAACGCACTTAAGTGGCCACAAGTACCTGTGTTGCCTGTCTGGGCCAGGCCAATTAACTTTCACCCAAGTGAGCAGCTCCTGGAGCATCCTCCAATCAATTAGTTCCGCCGAGGAAGAGGCAGATGCTGAGGAACGGTAACTCTCGAGGAGAGGAAAAACATCAATGCAAGAGATGGAAATCGCTGCGAAAAGTGGCAATAAATTATGTCTGCGGTGGCGTCGTCCGCCAGGGTTGATTGAAATCCCTCCGCCGATCGGTCGGAATTAAGTTCTGTTAACCGGGCAGAAAACAGAATCAATTCCTGAAATGGACCCAGCCTGCTGCAGGTATGCAAAAGAGCAATATTTCTTAAAATGATGAGTTACAGATGACGCTACCCAGGGACCATAGCATCAACAGATGCACAAGTTCTTCTCTTCGGGAGGGAAAAACTTTACAACTTCTACGGTTTTACAGTAGAAGTGTCTGGCTAAATATACAGAGAAGTCTGCTTAAATACTTATTTCATATTAAGTTCATTTAAAATGGATATTTACCCCTTCCAGATGGTGACAAAAATGTGATTTGTTCATTATTTGGCTTCATTATCATGCAATATGTTTTTGTTCATTTTATTTGGATGTCCATCAGTGAGTAAACAAACGATGAAACAATATTTACCAAAGATTACAATGTCGGTAATGCGCATGAATAAAATACACATTTCGTTTTATATGTAAGGAAATCAATTAAGCAGACTTTGCAGATTATTGTACAACAAATTTAAAGAGTTGGAATTGGTTCCAAATGATATAAATATTATGAAATTATTATTTTCACATATGAGACAAAAACTGTTAATTTTTTCATGGGATTTTTGGAACATAATGTTTTCGTTATATTATACCCTGACATGTTGTCGATTCCACAGTCCACAGTGACTCATCTGCCAGCATGTGCTGGAGCCAACTCCTGACCCCCAGTTCCCGCTCCTCCGCCTGCTTTTAGTGCATTGTTTACTCCGTCCAGACCAAAACAAAAATGCAACCAGGGACTGACTGACTCTGGCCCAGACATCTATCCGAAGGAGATGGAGGAGCTGTGGCTTTTCTGGTTGCGGGAAGCGAAGCTGAAATTTTATGGATTTATTGAAAATTGAACGCACTTGAACTGGAGGAGCGGAGGAGCTGGAGAAGCTGGAGGAACTCTGAGGCTGCATCTGTGCCCGCCTGCCTGTCTGCGAAAGAAGAGGCTTGTTTGGAAAACAAATAGATGAACTTCGTGCCAGGAGATGAGGCCCCGAAGATGCTGCCACCAACAGGAGCGGATCGAACCACAACGCGGTGTAAATATATTCATTAAATGAACTTTCTTGGGAAATACACGGAGTTAAGTTTCCGTTGCGAGCCAAAAGAGAAATATATATATTGAATCCACAAAAAAAGAAAACTCAATTTAAAGCATTTTGAACATCGATTTTAAATAAACTATTATATAATGATATAAAAACATAAAGGTAACTCTCCATAACCGCACCTCGCTCCTGATATTTTATAAACTTGCGACTGCCACGCGTTCTCGATTGTGTA